CTGTGTAGTCTGGTAGAAATTTACCAAACTTTCAGCATGATTACTCCTTCCATTATCAGGAAGATTTCTCTGACGATGGAGGCAGTGCACTCCTCTGAAACGTCGGTCAGTTTCTGCCAGACTACAGGGCGCAACATCCCAGAAGATGGTCATCTTCCTTCTTGTCGCCATGACAACCTGAAATCGTTACCCTTGTTACATCCAACTAGTTACCTTGTTAAATGCATTATATTCTTCAGCACATTGTTCTACGTCTGACACTGTGTCCGCAAAACAGTGGCAGGCACGAGCCGCCTTAGACTTGCTTTTTGTTTTGGGAGTTATCAGCAAACGACTCACGTGGCAGCTGTAAGCAGGCGACGCAAGTCGCTACGTTGTGTGTCTTGGGTTTGAAGTAACTCTGCGATCCGTCGCGTATTCGGGTTTCCTAAACTAGGCGCGGGATTACGCTAATGCAGTCGTTATTAAAACACACATACGAAGTCTTAGACACTGTGATCATGTACTAGTAATTGGAATGTCTCTTAGCCTGACGTGTTTCTGTAGATTATACCCCACCTTCTGATTCAGAGACAGGGCCCTTTGCACATGAAAAACACAGGGTACAAAAGAGTTTCGTTACATGGGTCTATTCGTCACACCGAAACATTTTTTAAAATTTGTCGATGTTAGTCTTATGGATTGTGTGGGCTTGTAGTCAGATATCAACCTTTCATAAGAACATACTGCCTCCACCTTCAACCCTGAAAATAGAGGCAAAGTATTTTCCCAAAATGGTAATTACTTCTTCTTAGGTACTTATTGCTTAAATAATCAGTCACTTAAGTATACTGTTAGCGAGATGCCTAATAAATTAACTAATTTCGTTCCCAGTCACTTGGCCCTAAGGCTCCCGCATAAACAGCTTGAGAACCACGATTTTATTAAAGGAACACGCCACGCGAACGTACCTAAAAGCATCAGTAGCACAGAGATACTCTGAGAAGACATGAGAAGTATATGCCTTTGAACCGAACACAGAAGCAATGATAAGACTACATAAGGCCGCGGAAACAATGGACAGCAAGTGAAAAGCGTGCCTGTGCGTGTATGGACGCCATGACAGTCAGCAAGCTGCCGCCCGGCCGTGTAATTTCATGTCGGAGAAAGTGAAGGTAGGCCTGAGTTTCCTCTGGAAGACATCCACGCACGAATACTTCACCCACGTTACAAATTTCCTACAGGCTACAAAAGTAAATTATCCGAATATACTTTTAATTAGGAAGTAGAATTATGGCAATTTGGTTATGAAAGGTCAACATTGAATACCAGTATGAAGTTTCGAAGTCTTCATTTCGTTTATCTAAT